AGCTGGTAATCTCCTCAGTCAGTGTATCTCAACCGATGCGCAGAGTCTCCAGAGTTCAGGGAACCCTGAACCGTAAACCAAGCCCCTTAGAAACCTGCAACCCACCCTAAACCCTAAACCCCTAAACCCTAGCCCTAAACCCTAAACCCCTAAAACCCCGAACCCTGCTAAGCCCTAAGCGATCCCAGGTTTGGACATCCCGAACGCCCGAAACAAGACGGCGGCCGACTTTGCGCGCGAGATGCGGGCGCCAGGGCCACTCCTTCAAGCGCTGCAAGGAGGCCAAGGGACTTGGGTTTTAGGGTGTTAGGGTTTTAGGGTTTTAGGGTTTAGGGTTTAGGGTTTAGAGTTTTAGGGTGCTAGGGTTTTAGGGTTTTAGGGTTTTAGGGTTTTAGGGTTTTAGGGTTTTAGGGTTTTAGGGTTTTAGGGTTTTAGGGTTTTAGGGTTTTAGGGTTTTAGGGTTTTAGGGTTTTAGGGTTTAGGGTTTAGGGTTCAGGGTTCAGGGTTTAGGGTTTAAGGTTTAGGGTTTGGGGTTTGGGGTTTGGCGCTTGGGGTTTAGGGTTTAGGCAAGGTTCACGCTGGAGCCCTGAACTCCCAACTGCTTCAGACCGAACGCAGCCCAACAAAACTCCTAGAAAGCTTCTTGAAATGCCCTTAAGTCCTGAAGCCTATACCTCCAAACTCCTCAAAGACCGAACTCCGCACGACATCTGACACCCAAAGCGTCCATCTACCTTTTTGAGTATATACTTGGGCCCGAAAGCTACTCTTTAAGAGCCCCTAAACCCTAAACCCTAAACCCTAAACCCTAAACCCCAAACCCTAAACCTAAACCCTAAACCCTTTAGGGCCCAAGTATATACGACATAGGTACATGGACCTTTTTGGGGCACCCTGCAAGCTAAACCCAATCCTGGGTCTTGGGGGCCTACGTCCGCTCCAGATGCTCTCAGCCCAAGATTCCTGAACCCCCTGGGTTGACATGAAAATCAGTAAGCTCCAAGAAGTTGGAACATCCTTCTCCCCATACCTAACCCTAAACCCTAAACCCGAAACCCTAAACCCTAAACCCTCAGAAAAGGTGTACTAAAGGTAATCCAGGCTTTAGTCATCCTGCGACCATGTTCCAACTTTCTGGAGTAGACTATAGGGTTTAGGGTTTAGAGAAAAGGGTTTTGGGCTTAGGGTGGGCTTACAGAATTCGTGTACATAGAGTTGAGGGTTCCCAAGCCCTGCATAGACCTCCAATTGTAAGCCCTCAGCCTCTAAACCCCTAAGCCCTCAACCCAAAACCAACTAGAATGGAGGGGTTTCCGGCACGGCCTGGAACACTGGCAAGTCCTCCATGCATGCAGGAATAAACCCTAAGCCCTAAGCCCTAAGCCTTAAGCCCTAAACCCTAACATATCCTAAAGATTCGGGGTTTTCTTGGGCCTCGGCCGTAGCCCGACTCCGACACCCCGGGCGAGCCCGGATTGCAATAGTCGAGGCTCCAGTCTCGGTGTTTGGGTTGTAGGGTTTAGGGTTAAACTGTAAGCCCCAAACCCTAAACCCTAAACCTCCTAAACGAGATGTTCAAGATCTTGAGGGCTTAAGAATCTCGATCCAAGGGTGAAGGAGGCTGCAGGTCTTTTGCCGAAAGGTGGTGTATCTGACGCCTTCGGTGTTGGGGTTCTCTAAACACTAAGCCGTTAAGCCCTATAGTGAAGTGGGTTTAGGATGATTCGTGCTAGGATTCCCTATACTTTACTTTAAGGGTATTAGGATCATGATGTTCCAACTTTCTGGAGTTTACTATAAACCCCAAGCCCTAAATGGCCTAGAGTTTTAGGGTATAGGGTTCTTGGCTCTAAGGGCTGTTGGGGAGGGGGGGTTAGACACCCCTGCACAGGGGCCTCAGTGACTGGTGAAGCGGCTGACGTTGCAGTAGGTGACGATGTGATCTCCATGTGAGCTCTTTTTTTCCATGGCAAGGCCCACGCTTGAAAAGCAGTCCCGAGTCCCGGGGTGAGTGCTTCTTCTGGCCAGTGGCTACGAAGGCTCCTACACCATCAGATTTGTCAAAGGCGCAGAGGTGGGTAATGAGAGTTCCGTCCGCAAAAGCGGAAGAACTCTCGCCTCGTATGGCTGATTCTGAGTCATGCACAGATTTACAGTCACTGCTTCGGTTCCTGCGCTAGGAATCACCCTCCTCTTATACTCTTGCACGAACTTTGGCATTCCAGCGCCTCCGAATTTTAACATTCCGAGCTTTCAGGTTGCAGTGCAACGCTTGCACGGTGTGCCAACAGCACGGCTTTTCTGTGTACATGAGGTACACAGTCCAAGCACCCGAACGCGCAGCTGCAGCACTCTGCGCATGCTTCAGGGGTTAGGGCTTAGGGCTTAGGGTTTTGGATTTCGAGTGGCAGGTCGGATACGTGGTATTGAGGATACGCGCCTTCGTACGTTGTTCAGGCGCTCGATTGCTGATGTAAGCGGAGGAATGTCCGGGCGCACCCGGTGTTTTGAGGAACCAACATGAAGTTACCGCAACAGGGCTAGACAGTCAACGATATGGTACCCTTGCTATGGTAACTCTGTCTGAGTTCCTTAATACATGCACTGAGGTGTTTTTCTTCTCCACCGCTAACTCTTGCATTGTCGGCGTGACGACACGATCTGGCGTCTGGAAGTCATGCTTACATAGGGCTCAATGAAGGTCCGCCCATGAGACGCTGGGGCATTAATCCACCAGCTCCCATCCCGAACCTCGACACAAGATGGTGTCGCAGTCGCGTCATACGCCCGCCGGAAGCGGCATGTGCGAAACGATTGGGCCTCTTGGCACTAGTCCCAACATCGTGTGCTTCGAAAGCGAAGCACACAAACCACGATGTTCGCATCTCGGAACCAGGCGTTGATGCGATGTCGAGTTGTGAGTTTGGGGTTAGATCTGCAGGGTTCTTGTCTTTGTGGCTCTGCTTACTTAGCCAATAGTTGAACTTTCAACTTGTTGGGCTTCCTTCGTAGGAACCAGCAAGTTTAACCTTGTCCCCTTGCTTATTGGAGAAGTAGCTCTGATGTTGAGTTCCCCTTGTTGGGTTTAAGAGGATCATATTTAGGGTACGTAGTAGCTGAGTGAGCAGCACACTTTACACTTGTTGGGATACTATATACTCCTTATAGAACTGAAAGTGTACACTTTTTGGGGGCTTATGAACTCAGCAACTTAGGGTTTAGGGTTTTGGGTTTAGGGTTTAGGGTTTCGGGTTTCGGGTTTAGGGTTTAGGGTTTAGGGTTTAGGGAAGGCTACATGTTCAGAGGGCTTTAAGGGCCATCCTAGTCTTCTTTCGAGACAGCTTTGGACATGGACTCATGGTGCGGATGTACACAGCCCCAAACCCTAAACCCTCAACCCTGAACCCTCAACCCTGAACCCTGAACCCTGAACCCTGAACCCTAAACCCTAAACCCTAAACCCTAAACCCTACTCTTGGTCAACATGAGTATGTCTTCGTCGTAGCTCTGCTGCAGCCAGTGTTCTTACATGAGGTACTTAGGGTTTAGAGATTTCGGATTAGGGTGTAGTGTTTAGGGTTTAAGGTTTAGGGTGTAGGCTTTAGGGTTTAGGGCTTAGGGTTTAGGGTTTAGGGTAGTGTTTAGGGTACCCTCAGAAACCCCTTAGCCGCAACGCAATTCAGATCCCTGAACCCAAAGCAGATGTAACTGGAATGAGCACAAACTGCCACCGCCGTCTCCAAAGCCTCAAGGGTTTAGGGTTTAGGGTTTAGGGTTTACGGTTTAGGGTTTAGGGTTTAGGGTTTAGGGTTTAGGGTTTAGGGTTTAATCCCTTGGCTGGAACCGGGCCTAGCCTCGTTCCCTCGCAGGCTGGGAGTGCATTTGAACAGCCGGGCCGGCCCAGGGGCGGGGCATTGATGAACTCTAAGCCCTAGGCCCTAGGCCCTAAACCCTAAACCCTAAACCCTAAACCCTAAACCCTAAACCCTAAACCCTAAACCCTAAACCCTAAACCGTTCGGGCTCAGGGTGTCAGAGGGTTTCAGAGGGTTTCAGAGGGTTTCAGAGGGTTTCAGAGGGTTCCAGAGGGTTTCAGAGGGTTCCAGAGGGTTTGAGAGGGTTTGGGGTTAAGTTCTTTTTGGGTTTAGTAGGACCCAATGCGCCCCAGAACAACCCCTAGAAAGTATGTACGACAATCATGATTCTTTTTCAGGGGCTGTAGGGTTTAGTGTCTTAGGGTTCTTTGGCTTCTCGCACGTAATAAGGGCTGTGATTTTGGCTCTGACAGCTTGAGTGCTCGCAAAAAGCCAGAATTTTAAAGCCGTCGAAATTTCATCTAGAGTCCTAAGCCCCAAACCTTAAACTAAACCCTAAACCTTAAAACCCCAAACCCGGATCAACCGAAACTACTCGGACTCAGCTCCCATCTACCTCAAGAAACCCAAAACCCTCACTAAACCCTCAACCCTGAACCCTGAATCCTAAACCCATCTAGGGTTTAGGGTCTCGCCAAGGCCATTCGAAGAGGTTCGTGACCATCAGCAGGCAGCATGGCTTAGGGCTTAGGGAAGTTTTGGGTTTGGGGTTTATAAACCCCTTAAAGGCAAAGAGAGGGCACCCTTTTTCAGCCGAGGCACTGGGCAACCTAGGAATTAGGGAATAGAGGGAAGTTTAGGGAGGGAGCCACAATCTGGCGACGCAGGTAGACAACCCTGAGGCCCATGCGACCTATCAAGGCTTCTTGCCTGGCGTGTTAGCATGCCTTTGCCTTTCGGCGACTCGCTCTAATCAGCATGGCTTCAGCATTTGGGGCTCGAGCTTAGTTCTAGGTTCTAGGTTTCGGGTTTTCGGGCGTTCAGTGGAGGCTTCGGGCTCTGAATGGCATTTGCTCAGATTTGCACATGGCTCACTTGGGGGAACATTGTTTGAGTACGGACTTGAACCTCCAACCACAGTTCGAAGGACTTTCTGGTTCAACGGCAGCAGTCCTTGCAGGCTAGCATGATGAAGCTCTGTGACTTCTCGGGCCATGCCACTGCCGCACCACGTCGCACCACCTGGCAGCAGAACGGCCAGACTCTCTGGACCCCACAGGCTTCACATGAGCAAAGGCGGCGACTGTGGCACTTGCAGTGGTGGGGAGAGATAGCTGTCCTGCCACTTTGTGGTAAGAAGGCGCGGCTTGTAGTGACAATGCGTGGCAATAGCATGCCTAGAAGTGTCTTCCAAGATTGTGGTAGGAAATCTTCTCAAACCCCTTTCGCAGGACCGGGCAGGGCCACGAGCAGCGCGTGTCCGGCAGCTTGGCCTTGTCTCCAGCAGACCTGAATCCTGCCATGCCGCAGAAATTGTAGAGTTCCTGGTGGACGCAGATATTCACAGTATCAGTACCATCAAGTGCGGGATAAGCAAGTTGCAGGAGGTGGGCTGGACCGTGAGAACAAGCGTCTTTGCACCGCCTGGACGCGATGCCAGCAGTGGCAGCGTTTTTTTCGCGAGCCCGGCATCGTTTTTAAGCCAGTGCCTCGATGCAAAGGTGGGAAGGGAGAGGCCAATGATGATATCATTGTGAGGGCCATGCGCGACTTGTCCACAGCAGCTGGAACTGGGAGCATTGCACTCTTAACTTGTGATGTTGACTTCATGGACGCCATTCAACGCCTGCATCTTGGCAGTTCTATTTTGGTGCTCATTCCTTCCCGAGCTTTCAATGTCATCCGGGCGTACCAAGATGCTGGGGTCCGGGTTTTGGAGGTGCCCGTGCAACAGAACAGCCCCAGGGTCAGGGCCATGCTCGAAGACGGGACTGGACATGTGCAGTTTGCAGACCCGTATATATCCTTTGATGGCCACCACGAGGCGTGCTCATTGCAATACCATTCTTGCAATAAGCGTTCTTGCGTGCATTCTGCGTCCTGTAGACCCGGAATTGAACTGTGTCGTCTTGTGTGTGGCTTAAGAGAAAGACATTCTCGGCTGCATGAAGTGCATGCTTCTGTCCTGTTAAAAATGAAACCTATACGACTTCACATGCCCGCACGATTAGCCCAAGGCACCCTTTAACATGAAAAACGTTATATATACAGATATTTACACATATATATATATATATATTCAGATTCATATACCTTCACATATAGATTTACATATACATAAACATATACATAAACATTTACATAAACATATATACATGTACATATATATATATATATTTATATATATATATATATATATTAGTTGCAGTCCCCCTGTCAGTGATTCTTGTGTGTCTGTGTGTGTGTGTGTGTTTCTAAGATATTCGTGTTTTTGTTTAGCTTTTTTTGCTTTGCTACGGCTCCCGGGGACATGGCCCTTGCGAGTGAGTGAACTCGGCGGGAGCGGAACGAAAACGAGAACACCCCCGGGCGCGGGCGGGTTTAGGGTTCAGGGTTTCCAAAGCGAAGCCAAGCGAAGCGAAGCCAAGCCAACCCTCATTTTCTGAAGTTTCCAGCGCGCCCTGGCAAAGCCTATTCCACAAAGCCTGCCCACACGGCGGCAAACACTGTCACCCACACCACGCCCCACACCGCCACACCCCCACACCCCCACACCCCCGCACCCCCACACCCCCACACCAACAGACCAACAGACCAACAGACCAACACACCCCCACACCCCCACAATTACGCTCCCCCCGTGTTGTGCTCGCTGCCCGGACGCAACCGGCAACAAAACGGACAAAACACGCTACATATGGACGCCGAACAAAAAGAAGCAGATTCGAGCCATAAACCTACTTTTGCTGGCGGTTCCTTAGGCTGACCACACGAGATCCGAAGCAACATGCGTCTTCACGCAAACACGAAGCAGCTAGCTTGGCTCCTGGTTGGTCACTTCACCCTGATGAGGCACGACTGTGCCAGAGCTTCCTGAAGGATGGGCCTGCGACAGTGATAGGCCAATAGGTTCACAGACGTTGTAGGGCCGTGCTGTCTCCAGTTCCCAGTCAGCCCCCTGCGTCGCAGGATTTGGATTTCTACAAGGAGGAGGAATCCCAGGAATACCTCATCCATGCGGCAGCTAAGTTTTGGCACAGGAACGCGAAGGGGCCACTGACGGTGTTTCCGCAGCAGTGTGCCACGCTCGAAGTGTGCAGGCTGGCCGAGGCTGACAGGTCGCGGGCTTGGCAGAAGTATACAAAAGAGCTTGCATTTCTGATTCCGAAAAGCGCACACCCGAGCCCATCCTCCCAACTCCGCAGAAAGTATGGGAACGCAGCGGCTTCTGCCATACATCGTGGTGGTGGGCCGTTCATTCTCGAAGACTCCTCGCACATGGTTCGTTCGGCCCTGCGGAGGCTGGGATATCTGGACAAGTACATGAACAACGACTTTGACGAGGCCATGTTTGTTTTCGTCAATGTTTCGAACAACACGTACAAACTGCGAAAACAGCTGGATGCCTTGCCTCGGGCCGCGGACCAAAGCAAAGACGTAGCGGAAGCAAAGACGTAGCGGAGCGCCTGCGGCATTCGTTTCTATCACATCAAACGGATGGTCAATGGCGCCTTGCACCCAACGATGCAGCCGTTCGAGGTGTTCTTTGTAAACAAGGCTACTTGGACAACATCAAAGCGCGTCCTTCGAAAGTACGCAAGGCCATGCACAAGTATTCAGACCGGCATGGCCTGCGACGAATGAGGACCTTCAATGGATCCTTGCTTCGGGTCGGCTGGCATTCGAGCAAGAACCCCAACAAAACATCATTGGTCGAGTTGAACTACCTTTGACGTGGCTCTGTACAAAGGCCTCATCGTCAAAAGAATCCGTTAACCCTAAACCCTAAACCCTAAACCCTAGACCCCACAGCCTTTGAGATGCACCTAGCCTTCGGTTGAATCCTCTGCCCCTGTCGAGGGAAAGGGTTGAAGCAGGCGAACCCCAGGGTTTGGAACAAAAAACGTGCCGCAGATTTGCATCCGCAACTTTCACCGTCATCGCGTGTTCGACCAAGATTGGGCCCCCTGAACCCATCCTCCCTGGTCTGGTTGATGAGGGTTTAGGTCTTAGCCCTCTGTATAGACCAGGTTGATGCTATGAAGGCTCCAAAGCGCCGTTTGTCAACACCCTTGCACCTTTTGACACACATACTACTGGCAAGCGCTGCGCCTTTGGCAGCTGTCCTGCTTGCGCTGGGTTCCACAGCCAAGTTCCAGGCTTCTGTGAGGCTCAGCTCTTCTGCAGCTACGAGAAACGAGGCGCTGATCCTTTTTTCCCAGCATCACGCACTCCCCATCTGCGTGCAATGTTGACACCCGCGACCGTGACGACGATGCGAACATCTCAAAACCCCCTAAGCCCCTTAACCTTGAAGGGCCCAAACCTTCTTTTTCCATAGGAGTATGAGCCGAATGTAAGGCTCATGTGCTTAGGGCTCTCGAGTGCCCAGAATCCGCCATCGCTGAGCCAGCAAGCCACATTCCTGGCCAGCGGCAGGTCCGGGAGGGTCCATGGCAGCTGGTCCCGTGGCTCAGGGGGGTTGGGTGTGGGGTTTGAGGGTTGGGGTTTTGGGCTTTAGGGCTTTTAGGGTTTTTAGGGAATTTTGGGGTGTTTTAGGGATTGTAGGGTTTAAGGGGTTTAAGGGTTCAAGGGTTTTGGGGCTTGGGGTTCAGAATTTCAGGGGTTTGGTGGCTCTCCTGGGACTGGGTAAGCCCTGCTGCCTCGGCCGTACCCCCTAAACCCAAGCTCTGCCAGCCTCCTGCTGCTGGAGGCGCAGAGTGCCCTGAGGGAGCTGCTCGAGCGATCAGAGGCACAGGACTTCCGTGTGAACATGCGAACTGGGGGTTTAGGAAATACGGGCACCCTAATCTACTAAGTGCTTAAGCCCCCCCCCCAAGAAAAAAAAACATTCTTCCTTATAAGGGTAAGAAAGGGATTACTCATTTTGGGTGTTCTTAAGCACATAGTAGAGGAAGGGAATCCTAGTATAGTCCCCCAAATAGTAGGATTCCCTATAATCATGACCCCAACAAGGCACCCCTAATTTCGGACACCCCCAACTCAGGTTGGATTTTGAGGGTTTTTGGGGTTTAGGGGGGTTTTGGGGTTTTGGGGGGTTTAGGGGGGTTGAGGGGGTCGTTTGGGGAGGCGTTGATGTCTTTACCGCCTACACCCCCTTTTTTTATCATCGTTATTCGTTAGTGCTATCATTGCTACTATTGACGATTACCACTGATGACCACTACCACAACTAAGACTACTACGATTTTCGATTGCCATGATTCTTATTGTTGTAATAGTTCTGCTATTTGTGATTTTATTCATATTGTAGATGGTATCTATTCGAAGTACTTTTGCCACTGCTGTTCTTACCAAATGCTGTGGTTACTACTAATTGACGTAGTTTCGATGGTGAAGGAGGGGACGGCTGAGCACCGAAGCATAGCGCGCGGCAATGTGCAATAGTTCTCCGTAGGCCGAGCCATCCTAGAAGCCCTGAGTTGTTAGGTTTAGGGGTTTGAGGTTTAGGGTCTAGTTAGGGTTAAGGGTTTATGGCTGAATCTTACTGTGTGTCAGCACATACCCTTCAGGAACCCCGACACCCTAAGACGCTGCAACTGAAAACCTGAAACCGCGAACCCTCCTGTAAAACCCAGGCCCTAAAATCCTGAAGCCCGAAGCCCTGAAACCCTGAAACCCCTGAGCTTGCCGACGTGTAGCTCCAGGAGCTCTTGTCTATGTCCAGAGTCCCTTGAGGAACTCTGTTCCAGTTTTTGCTTCCATGAAACAGGGTGTGGGTTCGGTACTAGTAGTACTAGTAGTACTAGTAGTACTAGTAGTACTAGTAGTACTAGTAGTACTAGTAGTACTAGTAGTACTAGCAGTACTAGCAGTACTAGCAGTACTAGCAGTACGAGTACTTTTTGTGATGGTTAAAAGGCGCATATAGTGTTTCAAGACTCTGGCAATTTCGTGCGGGGTGCCGAGCGCAGACCGGCCACCGACGTTAGCACTCACAGGGTCAATTTCGTGCGGGGTGCCGAGCGCAGACCGGCCACCGACGTTAGCACTCACAGGGTGGCTTCCGGGGCTTTTTAGATAATTAGTAATTGCTTAAGAACACCGAACAAATTGAAATATTCTTCCTTATTACGGGTAATATAGGGACTATTATTTTTTGTTCTTTTGGGGTTCTTAAGCAAATAGTAGATGCGCGTTAAGGTGTTGGCTTCTGTTTTGCCGCCATTGTGAGAGGCTCGGTAAGTGCTAAAACATCCGATGAAGCCACCCAGAATCCAGAGCTCACTGACGCTTGAAGCACAGCCTGAAGACCCTAAGCTATTAATTCTAAAAGAAACTCCTTCTTATAAGGGCAGTATAGGTTTTTTTTTTGGGGGGGGGGGGTGTTTCAGCAAGTGGTGTTCAGCCCCTAAACCCTAAACCCTAAACCCTTATTCTCCCTTGGCATGGGCAGGCCCAACATGCTGCAAACGCTTCCGCGTCCAAATCACGAGGCCAGCGGATGTTGATCCGAACCACCTAGGGTTTAGGGTTTAGGGTGTAGGGTTTAGGGTTTAGGGTTTAGGGTTTAGGGTTTAGGGTTTAGGGCTCAGGTCTTTAAACCTTCAATCCCCAAAACCATACCCTAAAGGGCGGTTTTGGGCGAGTAGGGCATCGGGACCGTCTTTTCTTCAGCTTCCTTAGAGAGCGACATGGTAGACCCCAAGGTTGCCAAATTCGATTTAGGGTTTGTGCAGGGTTTGCATGGGGTTTGCAGAGGGTTTGAGGGTTTAGGGATCGGGTTTGAGTCTGGCTTGTTGACAACCGCATGGATGCGATCAGCGCCACAACTGAAAACATTGAAGACGCAGAAGACTAAGAAATTACCCTAATCCCTAAACCCTAGACCCCAAAATCACGCCTTGAACACTTGAGCCCTGCCAAGACTTGGCCGCCGCGGGCGCGATGCTCACTCTGGCGGCGAGTATCGGGGCCGAGGCGCGTAAAGTCCTTAAACCAGGGTTTAGGGTTTAGGGTTAAGGGTTAAACCCTTAAACTCTCAAACCTCCCAAGCCCCCCAAACCCGAAGCCCCTCGAACCCTTGCAACCTTAAGCCCTAAACCCTAAACCCTTAACCCCCTGAACCCTAACCCTCGAACCCTTAACCCCCTGAACCCTGAAGCCCACAAGCCCGAAACGCTAACCTGGGCCTTTTGAGGTGTAAGCTCTGACTGGCTTGCGGGTTAGGTTCTGGGATTTAAGGGCTTAGGGTTTAGAGTTCAGGGGGCTCAGGGTTTAAGGTTTGGGGTTTAGGGTTTACTCTAACACGCTGGATTGAGGAGTTGAGAACTGAAGTTTGTGGTTGAGAACTGAAGTTTGTGGTCAAAAGGCGTTAACGCACCCGGAGGCGAAGCTTAACCGCAGCAACAGCCATGACCCTTGTATACTGCCTTACAGGGGTTTAGGGTTTTTAGGGTTTTTAGGGTTTCGGCCCCGCTCGCGGACCCTAAACCCTAAACCCCAAAATCCAACCTCCCAACCAGTCCACGCTTGAGCAGGCACCGCTCTTTAAGATGGCGACAGTGACGGAGGACTGAGAGGGGTTGGCTCTAGGGTGTAGGTTGGATGTTCCCCCTTATACTAACAGTCCTTAATGGAGATGACAATCGGGGTACTCGAATCCCTATTCAGGACTGTTGGTATAAGGGGGAACATCCCAAAGTGTAGGCCGTATAGGTATTTTTCATGAGGACTCTCATAAATGTTCTGTGATTTTGGGCTTTTGGGAAGGGGTGCTTCAGTTGGGGTTTGGGGCACAGGTCTTGGGCGAAGCGGACCCCAAACCCTAAGCCTGGAAGCGATGGCCTGAGATCCGAGACTTGCTTCTCCTCCCTGACGTGCCCCATTCTCTCAACCCTGAACCCCGGCTAAGGTACCTTGAGCCCCTTGTTGAGATTTGGTTGGGTGTGTGTGTGTGTGTGTAAGATACCCCAGATACACCCTCAACCCTCAACCCCAAAGAAGCTACCTTGAGGCCCGTGAGGGTGTTGGGAACGCTTAGTTTGGGTCAAAGAGCTGGTGTTCTACGTTCTGCATGAGTTCATCAGCAAGCACAAGTCCCCCCCCCTCCCCCAGGCAACCCAACCCTAAATTCTAGAAGTCTTGCACATCATGACATTCTTTGTGGTACTTTACTGTAACTTTAGATCCTTACCTTTTTTGGGTTTATTAGGTTTCTTATGAAGGCAGCTAAACGTTTAACTTATAGCTACCCGACTGAGTGCAGCCAAGACATTAGACCCTGAACCCTAAACCCTAAACCCTAACCCTAAACCTTAAACCCTAAACCTTAAACCCTAAACCCTAACCCTGAATTTGAGAATGCCTAGACCCGGCCATCCGGGCAGGAATCCGCGTTGCGCATGTTGTCCAGCCTGAAACTGGTTGCATTTGAGGCACGTGGGGCCATGGCGGCTTTGGGGTTTGAGGGGCCGCTTTGGACTTCAAGTTCAGGG